TTCCGAGGCTGTAAATCTTTACAGGAGCAGAAAGCCTCATCTTTCTCCTGCGGAGCAACTGGTAGTTTTGAACTGCTGACCTTAAGTGGAATTCTGTCTTAGTTTTTGAAATAAGGCAACTGTTAGACCCAAGCAGAATATGTAGTTGCTCAGAGTGAGGATTAATTTTAGAAGACAGTTGTGTGATATGACAATGTCTTTGTAACTTTTAATCTAATCTATATTTTAAAGTTTTTATTTTATTGTGGTGAACATATATGATATGGCTTCAAAAAGTTCATGGTAAAATAGGATGAAAAGATAATGGGATTTCCACTAATTGTTTGAAGCTCCCTTGAGTATAACAAAACATTCCAACCATTTTTACAGTGGAGTCCTGGTGTGGCGCTGTAGGACAAGCACTGGATTGCAAAGTCGGTTTGAACCATAGGTTGGTAGTTCAAACTCACCAGTCACTCCTCAGAAACCCTATACATGGTTGCTATGAGTTGGAACCTACTTACTGATACTTAACAACTATTACCATTAATAAAATAATGTCATACATTCATATTCTAATTTTTTGCTTAAACAAATAGTTTTGTTAATAGCTTACGCCATTTCATTCTGAGTCTTCCCACTACCTCTCAGTTGAGTTGATTGTGAGGACATCAATTCTCAGTGAACTTGTGTTGAGCAGAGCAGAACATAGGGTTTCCAAGGCCACAGCTCTGCCCATTGCATCCCTGCCCAGGTCCACACACTGTGGTACTCCCAGAACCTGCTCAGTCACCATTGCTTGGCTGGGTGGGGGTGGAGCCGTGAGTGACTTTCTGCCCACTCTGCCATGCTGATATGGCAAGTCCAAGAGGCACAACCATGCAAAAGGGCCAGCAACGAGCCCCCTTCAGACTGACTCCCAGAAACTTTACTGCTTCACTTTCCCTGGTTATAGGATGGCACTGTAAGGTGGGCATGAACACAAGTTTCCAGACCTTTCTCTTAACCTGAAAAGGGGCATTAATTAGTGCTTTGGATGGCCCAGTGACCCCTGCAGAGCACTTCATAGTGACAGAACACAGCTTACAGCCCATCAGATTCCGAAAACCCCTAGAAGGTCACAACAGAGTCAGTGGCCTCATATCGTGAGAGAAATGCTAAAAGAGAAAATAGTTTTTGCATTCACTAAAATCCTCCTGTGAGGGGATATTGGCTCAAACAGGTTATGTTTCATATGCGTGAATAAAAGACCTCCTTAAACCCTAAGGTCAGACTCTTAGCCACATTAATGGACAGAATCCCTTGGCAGTTTCTGTTGCTGCTTGGCTAATGTATGGAGTCTTACTCAGGTTTCTATGTCAGTTTTGAGCATGTTTTACTACACTCTCTGGTAGTGTAGTGGTTACGAATTGGGCTGTGAACCGCAAGGTCAGCAGTTTGAAGCTACCAGCCACTCTGGGAGAGAAAGATGAGGCTTTCTGCTCCCGTAAAGATTTACAGCCTCAGAAACCCTGTGCAGGGTCTCCATGGCACTTAACAACTGGGCTGGTCAGTTTGGACTCTCAGCCTTTGCACATCCAGAAACTGAGGTGGATTTCCTGAGTGGGAGCTGTTTGCGGCTGTTTTGTGTTTGCAGATGATCTGTCTCTACCTACAGTTTCATCAAAAATCTAGTACAAGATTAGGTTTGGCTGGACTGTTTTTTTGTTTTGTTTTGTTTTGTTTTTTGGCATTTTGATGAAGTTGTAAAGGAAGGAAAACAAATCTATCTTAGATTTGAAATACACATCGTTGACATTACTGATTAGAATTGCAGAATTTTCTTTGGGAAAGCCTGACTTTCTACCCCTTCTCGGGCTGAAGTCTGAAGATCATCCATTCTGTTTCTCACTGGGGTGCAGCTGATTAGGGCCACATGCCAGAGCCTAGAGAGCAGGGACTGAACTCCTAGCTAAGCATCTCCCAGCTACATTTCTTGGTTCCTGTAAATCCTGTCACGTTCCATCTCTCGAAACTCAGGGATCACCCATCTGCAACTGGGACCAAGCCACTTGTCTTGGTGGGTTTGTTGACATCTGGGAGCAGCGAATCTTCTTTCTTTAGCCTTGGCCCAGGCCTTGTGTTCATCAAGCATGTTCCTGGGAATTTCATCCTTAGCACTTGAAGGTACCTAAGGAACTTCCTCGCGTTGCATGGACTCCTTACCCGAGGATCTTGGCCTGCCAGCATTTGAAGGCCACATTGCTTGCCCTTGCTAATGCTAATGTAACTGATGAACGTCACCAGGCATTTAGTAGAACTATATCAATACTCAAAAATAATCAGAATGAACACAATCTGGAGACAGCCACTTGGACACCACTTAAGACTTTGAAAAGTTGATGATTGGGGTAGACAGAGGGAATTTCAAGATGGCAGACACCCAAAGGTAACAGCATCGACCATATCCTCTCTCCTTCTCCCTACAGTTAAGAAGTATGGAAAACAGTGGGTCAAGACTTTATGGTTTAAAGGATTTTTTAAAAAATCTGCTTCAAGCAATCCTTTAAGAAAAGTGAGCAAAGGCTTTTTCCAGAGAAGCCCCCTTCCCATGTCTGACATTCCGTAACTGTCTTTCGCAATGATAATGAAATGCTTTGGGGGCCTGATGGTGATGAGCTGGTTTGTTTTGATCTTGAAGGTTGTTGTGTTGCTGTAGTTGTGATGTTCTGCCATCTCACATCATTATTTGTTTCTATCCCTTTATCATTCAGTGAGCTCCTTCTGGCCTTTGTCGGCAGCTCTCGTGGCTGACTGATTATATTATTCAAAATCAGTGACTTACACAAGCAACCAACTCCCTCTCTTGCTTCCTTCATCCAATATTAATTCATAAAGTATATTTTTTGGTCTTGTATGTGTCCATCAAATATTTTTGCTTTGTTGATTTGTTAAGAATACGATGTAAAAGGGAAGAAGCCACAGAGAAGAAGCGTGTTGATTGTTGTTGTTGCAGGGAGGGGTTTGGTTGTTGCAGGTATGACTGCTGGTTGAAAGGCAAGCGGATGATCTTGTCTGTTAACTTGCACTCACTTCACAATAAAAAGTTTTAAAAAAACATTAATTCATAGACTGTTGTTTGAAGCAACATGATCTGGGCATCAGATTGGATTCAGATCCCAGTTGTGATACAACCTAGGTCTTTGACTGGACACGTTGGTTAATAAGTTCACAGTTAACATTTAGCTTGATCTTCCTGGGCACTAAAGAGCCCTGCATTGGCAAGTTAACAGCAAGGTTGGCGGTTCAAACCCACCAGCCACTCTGTAGGAGAAAGATGAGGCAATCTACTCCCTTAAAGATTTTCGGTCTTGGAAGTCCGAGGAGGCAATTCTGCTCTGTCTGGCAGGGTCATTTTGGGCCAGATTCAACTTCATGGTAGTGGGGTTTGGTTTTGGTTGCTTGGTTTCCTCTGTTGTAAGCACTTTGCATACGTGAATGAGTTTCAGCTTCCTAACAACCTTATGTGTTACGTAATGTACCCATGGTCATAGAGCTACTGAACCCTTCCTCATAGTCATGTTGTTGTTGTTGTTAAGTGCTGTTGAGTCCATTGAGACTCATAGCAACACTCTAGGGTTTCCTAGGAACAGCTGGTGGTTTGAACCACCACCTTGCAGTTCAAACCAACTTTGCAGCCAAGTGCAGACCCTGGTACACCTGGACCCCATCCATGACCGTGCAGCATTTCGACCCCCTCCTGGCTGGTGGGACGCACTCTATAGGTCATCATGGCTGCTCTTCCAACCACTGTTGTGACCGTCTTCCAAGTCTTGGTTTCCTCATGTGTAGAATGAGGAGAGGAGAACTCTCTAGGGTTATTAGGGGATTCCGTGACCAGCTATATGGAGTCCTGGTAGTGCTGTGGTCTAAGTGCTTAGCTGCTAATCACAAAGGTTGGCGGTTGGAACCCACAAGCCTGTCTCTGGGTAGAAGATGTAGCGGTTGGTTCCCATGAGGATTCATTGCCTTGGAAACCCCACAGGGCCACTGTAATTCAGAATCGCCGTAACAGCAACATGGTTTGGTTGTTGTCGGTTTTTTTGTTGTTGTTAGAACAGTGAACTGAGATGAACAAATTGAGATTTGGCAGAAATAAATATAAGGGCCTGTATTTCGTTTGCAAAGCCCACAAGCTGCCCTAGTACTATGTAGGGGAAGCTGTGGCTGAGACAAGTTAGTTACTTCAGGCTGTGGACAGGCTCCATGTGAGTCCGTGGGCAACATGGCTGCTAAGAAGCTGAGTTCCGTCCTGAGCTGCATTAATAAATATAGGTTGTGGTTACTGTTTGTTTGAGGTACTGGCTCTATAGGACAGATACAAGTGCCCTATAGGGTTTCCAATGTTGTAATCCTAACGAGGACTCCTGGTGTGGCACTGTAGGATCAGCACTGGATTGCAAACTTCAAGGTCAGCAATTCAAACCCACTAGATGCTTCTCAGAAACCCTAACCAGGGTCACTATGAGTCGGAACCAAATCAATGACACTCAATAACAACAATCCAGCTGGAAGCAGGTTGCCACGTTGTTCTCCTACAGAGTGGCTGGTGGGTTTGAACTGCTGACGTTTTGATGAGCAGCCATGCTCTTCACCAGGACTCCATCTATAGTTAAGTGGCATACATTTGGATTGGCAAGCACAGAGTTTTCGGTTGCCAGTGTCCAATCATTGGAAGAGTCCACCTAAAACTCTGGTTTCCTCCTTCCCTTTGCCACCTTGGCCTGTATTC